CCACTTTTGGATTTTGTAATTCTTCAATTCTTTGCATCTTCAATTTTTAGTACTTTAATTTTCTGTTTTTTCAATTTTTCCAGTTTTGAGTTACACAAATTTTAATTTTTCGATTATTCAGTTTTTTTTTAATTTTCAGTTTTTCGCCTCTTCTGCTTATCAATGTGCAGTTTTTTGAATTTTTGATTTTGTCAATTTTCGATTTTTTGAATTTTTGATTGTATTAATTTTCGATTTTTTCCCGAAGTTCAATTTTTCGTTTCATCGATTTTTCTGTTCTTCAATTTTTTGATTTGTAAACTTGCAATTTTATTAATTTTCGATTTTTCTATACGCAATTTTTCGATTTTACATTTCGTAGACTTGCAGTTTTGGAGTTTGCAATTTAAAATTTTTCGCTTCTGCTGTTTTTCAGGTTTTAAACTTTTAATTCTTCAGTATTTGATCTTTAATTTTCCAATTTTTCAAATTTTTGTTTTTTCAATACCTAACTTTTTTATTTTTAATTTTAGCAATTTTTGGTTTCTTCAATTTTTCTATATGCGATTTCTTGATTTTATGATTTGTAAACTTTTCAATTTTTCGTTTCAGTGTTTCCATTTTAAGATTTTTCAAAGTTTGAATTTGCAGATATTTTTTTCAATTTTTCCAAATTCGAGTTGCACAATTTTTAATTTTTCGATTATTCAGTTTTTTTTTTCTAAATTTCAGTTTTTCGCTTCTTCTATTTTTCACATTGCAATTTTTCATTTTTTTGATTTTTGTCTTTTCCAAAGTTTAGATTGTTCAGTTTCTCGATTTTAAATTTCCAATTTTTCGTTTTTCAATACATCGATTTTTTATATTTGTATTTTTTCGGTTCTCCAATTTTTCGATTTATAAACTTGTAATTTTTCGAGTTTCGAATTTTCAGTTTTTCAATTTTTTGTTTTTACAGTTTGTAAACTTGCAATTTTTCAACCTTTCGGTTTTAAATTTCCCAATTTGTCGATTTTCAACTATCGAATTTTTAAATTTTTTGATTTTTACTTCAACTTTTAGATATTTTAATTTTTAGATTTTTCAAATTTTTGTTTTTAATTTTTGGTATCTTCAATTTTTAGTGTTTTAATTTTCCGTTTTTTCAATTTTTCCAATTTTGAGTGATGGTAATTTTTAATTTTTCGATTATTCATTTTTTTTTTAGTTTTCAGTTTTTCGCCTCTTCTGTTTTTCAATTTTTCATTTTGTCAATTTTCGATTTTTTCTCGAAGTTCAATTTTTCGTTTCAGTATTTCCATTTTAAGATTTTTCAAATTTTGAATTTGCAGATATTTTTTTTCAATTTTTCCAGATTCGAGTTACACAATTTTTAATTTTTCGAATATTCAGGTTTTTTTTCTAATTTTCGGTTTTTCGCTTCTTCTATTTTTCAAATTGCAATTTTTCGATTTTTCATCTTGTCAATTTTTGGTTTTGTATCTCGAAGTTCAATTTTTCATTTTTTCGATTTTTGTCTTTTTCTATGTTTTATTTATAAATTTTTCATTTTTTCGATTTTGTTATTCTCCAATATTTAGATTTTTCAGTTTCTCCATTTTAAATTTCCGATTTTTCGTTTTTCAATACATCGATTTTTTATTTTTGTAATTTTTCGCTTCTTCAGTTTTTCGAGTTTCCAATTTTTTGTTTTTACAGTTTGTAAACTTGCAATTTCCCAACCTTTCAGTTTTAAATTTCCCAATTTGTCGATTTTCAGCTATCGAATTTTTCAATACCTAATTTTTCGATTTTTAATTATTGCAATTTTTTGTTTTTCTACATGTGATTTCAAATTTTTCAATTTTTCGTTTTCTTCAGTAAATCCATTTTACGATTTTTCACACTTTCAGTTTATAGATATTTTCATTTTTTCAATTTTTCGATTATTCAGTTGCTCAATTGATAATAATTTTTCGAATTTTCAATTTTTAGATTGTACCATTTTTCGATCTGCTATTTATGAAGTTTTAAGTTTAAAAATTTTCTATTTAACTTTTGGATTTTATAATTCTTCAATTTTTAGTATTTTAATTTTCCGTTTTTTCAATTTTTCCAATTTTGAGGTACACAAATTTTTAATTTTTTCAATATTCAGTTTTTCGCTGCTTTTATTTTTCAATTTGCAATTTTTAGATTTTCAGAAAACATATTTTGATCTTACAATTTTTGCAATTTGGAAGATTTATTTAAAAAAAAAAATCATTTTTTCGATTTTACAATTTGTAGACTTGCAGTTTTGGAGTTGTCAATTTAAAATTTTTCACTTCTTCAGTTTCTAAATTTGTAATTTTTCAGGTTCTCGATTTTTAATTTTCCGTTTTCTTAGTACTTCAATTTTTAAATTTCCAATTTTAAAATTTTTAAATTTTCTGTTTTAAAATTTCCAGTTTTCCGATTTTTCAATTTTCGATAGTACCATCAAGGAAACATTTTTAATAGCCTTCATTAACTAACTCCATCATTAAATAATTATATTTTGTATTTTTTCCGTAATATGCGTAGTCTTCCTTTCATAAGAAGAAACTTAAAACATTTAAAATTCTTGAATCACTTATAAAATTTGACAATAATTCGTCCAGTAGTTTCGGAAATTATCTACCTAATATTAGTTTCTAGAGACAGACGACAGACAGACACGACAAAAAAAGACAATTAAAAAATGGGGAGACGAAAGAGCCAAAAAAACGAACAATAAAACACCAAAATAGCGATAAAAAAGAAGGGGACAAAACAAACAAAAAAAAAGCGACAAAAAGGATTACGAAGACACAAAAAGTGAGTAAAAAGCTATATAGGAAAAAAGGACAAAAAAATAGATGAGAAAAAGCGGCAAAAAGGGGACGAAATGGAGTTGAAACAGTTATTAAAAAACGGTAAAAAAGGGAAACAAAAAAACAAAAACAAATCGAGACGATAAAGAGAGACGACAGAGAGGTAAAAACTGAAGACCTATTTATTCATTTTCTAGTTATGCCCCGCCCCTCGGTCTGACAACAAATGAAAAATTCATCACAATTGAGATCGGGGCGGGTCAAAGTGGGGCTTAATCTTTGGCTTTCTTTTTTATTTAATACATATACAAAGTTAATTATGAACACCACGATTACTTAAGAGCGTGTTTCGCATGGTCATTTCTTCTAGAAAATAGTGATTTTTCAATTAAGCTCCGCCCTCCGGCTGATGACGAATAAAAAATTCGTTACAATTGAGATAGGGTGGGCGGGCGGGGCTTATATTTTGTATTTTTTCCGAAATATATGCGTAGTCTTCTTTTCATAAGAAGAAACTTAAAACATTTAAAATTCTTGAATCACTTATAAAATTTGACAATAATCGGTCTAATATTTTCGGAAATTATCTAGCTAATAGAAGTCGATAGAGGCAGACGATATTCAGACACAACAAAAATAGACAATTAAAAACGAGAGAGACAAAAAAGCTAAGAAAAAACGAACAATAAAAGAACATAAAAGCGATAAAAAAGAAGGGAAAAAAGCGACAAAAAAGGATTACAAAGATACAAAAAGGTGGAAAAAAGGCTATAAAGAAAAGAAGGACAAAAAAATAGATGAGAAAAACCGTTAAAACGGAAACAAAATGGAGTTGAAACAGTTGTCAAAAAAGGGCAAAAAAGGAAACAAATAAACAAAAAAAATCTAGAAAAAATCCAAAACAAAAAATGGATACGAAAAATAAAACAATTCTACAAATTTAAATTTTTTGTTATGATAACCCTAATAAATTCAAATCCAAAAGGCTTTGCTATGCATTTCGAGTGCGATTTTAGGAATTAAAGTTTTTAGTTTTCTTAGAGGGTATGTTATTTACCCAAATTGATCTTAGATTAGCAAGTGTTAACCCCGCCCACCCACCCTCTATTTTCTTAGAAGGATCTCATTTGCCAAAATCAGTCTTATCCTAACAGGTACTAGCCCCGCCCACCCACCCTGTCTTTTCTTAGAGGGTATATCATTTGCCAAAATCAGTCTAGTAGCTAGTAGCTGCTAAGATAAAAATTTCTTTTTGGACAAATGACATATACTCTAAGAAAAGAGAGGGTGAGTGGGCGGGGCTAGTAGCTGCTAAGATAAGACTGATTTTGACAAATAAGATCCCTTTAAGAAAGTCGACCGATAAATAATAAATAAGACCTATTTTGGCAAATGGCATACCTTCCAAGAAAAGAGAGGGTGGGTGGGCGGGGCTAGTACCTGCTAAGGTAAAACTGATTTTGGCAAATGACATACCTTCTAAAAAGAGAGGGTGGGTGGGCGGGGCAGTAGATGCTAAGATAAGACTGATTTTGACTAATGAGATACCTTCTAAGAAAATAGGGGGCTAAGAAATCAAATATTTTTTTTCGTAATCTACGTCATAAGGATTTTTTTTATTATTTTTTTGGGACTTCCGAAACCCCCGTACATAACGTACCGAAGAGTTAATCCGCTATTTTCCAGGCATTCAATACGCAAAAATATATAGGTGTTCCATTTAAAAGAATTAAGTTTTAAAAACACTCTATACCGTACAACTTTGATCTCTAACTTGTTTTTCAATTACTAATAATTAATTTCATATCGAGGACCAGCCTGTATATCATCTCACCTAGAAAATTACCAAAAATTAAAGTTCTAAAGGATAGATTAAGTCAAAGAGTTTTTTCAATAGTTCCTTATAAATGAGTAAATTTCTGTCAACAGGATTATGAAACAGCCTGTATACTTTTTTATAGATAACAGTGAACTTCTGGATGATAATAATAAAGTCGACAACCACCAGATCAAATGACAATTTACTTGTAAATGAAAGTAAGCTTAAGTAGGCTGTGAGATTAACTTCACTAAATTTTGAGATGACGTCACCAGTTCATTGGGAGGGATAGTCAAATTTTGGTTTGCATTTTTAATCTTTAAAATTTCTTTAAAATTTCATTTCATTTTTTCATAATTATAATTATTAAAATTTCAAATAAAACAAAATATAGAGAACAACTTTATTAACACAGAACACCTTAAACTAACACAATCGCGCCTTCGTGCTACTCTTAAACCTCTTCGCCAACTCCCTCTGCATCGCATTTTGATCCTGTTGACTCGCTTTCGTGATCTGTTCCATAACCTCATGATTATACGTGGAGTGCAACATGAGTGCGAGCACTCCAGCTCTCGACGCCATACTGTTCCTAATTTGCCTTTCCTTCTCCAAGAGTTCGTCCATCTTCAACCACTGTCGCACCCGTTCCAAGTCAATCTAAAAAAAAAACACATTTAAAGTGTGATGTACTAGTGTAAGATCAACCTCGACCTCACCTCGGCCCGCCTCAACTTCTCCCACACGTGATGCTTCCCGCACGCCTTCTTCGGCGCCCGACAGAACTCCCCCGTCAAGTCAAACACGTTAGTCACCAAAGGGCAACCACAAACCTCAAACTCCCCAATCTTCGCATCCTTGCAGTGCTCGGGACACAGCACCCTCAACCTCTTACAATACGTCCTATTCCCGGGATTAAAAAAATCGCAGAACATGTTGTTGCCCTCAATCCTGGTCTTAAAAATGGACCCAAAGGACGCCTGAGACTCGTACTTGTTGAAGCACTTCTCCATGTGCTTGATCGCGGTCTTGGCGTGGATTTCGTGTCCGCACGTTATACAATACATGGTGGACATCTCCGACTCCTCTTCATTGTCGTAGTCCACGTTGGGGTCGATGGTGGCGCTTTTAGCCCGGTCTATGATGGCGTCGAGCTCCCTGTGTCTGCTGTCGAGCTCCTGGAGGATTTGCTTCACTTCGAACTGTTGCTTCCTGACTTGGTCGAGGGCTTTGATGTTGGACTCCTCGGCGGAGCAGGGGCTGAGGGCCCACTCTTGGATGCGCTGGGGCAGAACTTGGAGGATTCGGTTGGTGGCCAGTTTGAGGCCGCACTCGTCGGAGCAGTATTTCGAGCCGTAGCGGGCGCTGCTGGTACACGTGGGGCCGTAGCATTGGCGCGGGTAGTCGGTCTGGAGGTGGGCGTTGGGCGGGCCGTCGCGCTCCGAGCTAGAGTCACGCCTCTTGCGCCGCCCACTGAAACGAAGTTATTAAAAACAAATCAATTTTTTTAAACATTGTTAACTTAACCCAGAAAATGCGCAATTTCACGGCCAAAATATGAAAAATAATGTTTGCAATCATCGTGACGTAAAATGACGTCATTTTCACGTGGACTAGCTGAGCAAAGTCACGTTTATCGGTTCTTTGTGTTTAGTTTTGATTTCGGTCAGGTGGCAGCATCATCGCAGCCCGTTTTGGCTTAAAAGTAGCACGTGTTTGCGAAGTTCTAATTTATTGTTAATAAATATTAGTGAAAATGTTTGGCGTTAGTACTGTGAACACGAAGGAAAGTGGATATTTTTCCAAACATTTTTCTATTTTTCACTGTTTCGTTGCCTCAATTTTTCAAGTTGTTCAGTTTTATTTTTCGTTTTTTTATTTCTTTTTTCCAATTTTCAATATTTCAATTTTGCAATGCATTATGTATTGTTTTTTCGATTTTGCACTCTTTCGATTTTTAAATTCTTGATTTCCAATTTTTAGATTTTTCAGTTTTCATTTTATACATTTTCGTTTTTCCTTTTTGATTTTTCAATTTTACAATTTTGGAATTTTTTATCCAAAAACTTGAAAAATCGAAGAACTGAAGAAGCGAAAATTGAAATACTGAAAAACTAAAAATGGAGAAACTTACAGATCGAAAAAATTAATGAATCGAAGAATTAGAAAGGAGAAAAAATAAATCGAATCGAAAAACTGGAAAACCCAAAAATTGTGAATGTCGAAAAATTATAGAATTGTCAAAATTGTTTAAAAATTGAAAAATCCAATCAACGAAAATGTTTTAAAATCTAATATGTAATTGAAGGATGGAAAAACTAGGGAATTGTAAATTAAAATCGAAGAACCGAAAAATGAAAAATCAAAAACTGAAAATCGAAAAGTTAATAAATCTAAAAGTTGAAAACACGAAAAATTGAAAATCAAAAAATTGAAAAATTCAAAAATTTTACTTTGAAAAAAAAAAATTAAAATCGTAATACTGAAAAACCGAAAAATTGAAAAAAAAGGGAAAATAAAGAACAGAAACGAAAAATTGCAAATCAAAAAATTTAAAAATAGAAAACTCGTGAAATTGAAACATCCCAAAATTGGAAAATCGAAAAGCTGAAAAATTTTAAAATGGCAAATCGAAAAATTGAAAAAATTGAAATTGAAAGAACAAAAAATTATAAAATCGAAACAATGAAAAATCGAATAACTGAAAATATAAAGAGAAAAAAAAACCCAGAGGAAAAATTGAAAAATTAAAAATTGAAAAATCGAGTCAATGAAAATATATTAAAATCCAATAATTGAAAAATGGAAAAACTCTAAAACAGTAAAATTGAAAAAATGAAATAAGAATTACAAATATTATTACATATTTAAAATGAAAACTAGAAAATTGCAAATTAAAATTGAAGAAACGAAAAATTGAAAAATCGAGAAACTGAAGAATCTAAAACTGAAAAAAAAAATTAATAAATCTAAAAGTTGAAAAGATGAAAAATTGAAAACATAAAAAATGAAAATTTTCACTTTGAAAAAAATATTTAAAATCGGAATATTGAAAAACCGAAAAATTGAAAAATAGAGAAAATAAAAAACCTAAACGAAAAGTTGCAAATCAAAAAATTAAAAATTGAAAACCCGTAAAATTGCAAATCGAAAAATGACAAAATCTAAAAATTGGAACATCCAAAAGTTGGAAAATTGAAAAACTGAAAAATTTAAAAATGAAAACTCGAAGAGTTACATATCGTAAAATTGAAGAAACAAAAAAAAAGAACAACTGAAAAATAGCAATTCGAAAACTTAGAAAAACTGAAATTGAAAGAATAAAAAATTAAAAAATCGAAACACTGAAAAATCGAACAACTGAAAAAGTAAATACAATGAAAAACCGAGACGAAAAACTGCAAATCGAAAAATTGAAAAACTAAAAAATCGAATCAATGAATGTTTTAAAATGCAATAATTGAAAAATGGAAAGAAAAACTCTCTAAAATTTTAAAATTGAAAAAATAAATAAAAATCATTTGAAAAGTATAAAATTGCAAATTAAAAGTGAAGAAACGAAAAACTGAAAAATCTAAAACTGAAAAAACCAAAAGTTAATAAATCTGAAATTTAAAAATACGAAAAATTGAAAAATCCAAAAACTGAAAAATTCCCTGTATATAAAATCAGCACATTGGAAACCAAAAAGTTGAAATAATAAAGAAAATAAAAAAACCAAATGAAAAATTGCAAACCAAAAAATTAAAAATTGAAAACTCGTGAAATTGCAAATCGAAAAATAGCAAAATCTAAAAATCGAAGAAACTGAAATTGAAAGAACAAAAAATTATAAAATCGAAACATTGAAAAATCGAATAACTGAAAAAGCGGTGCCGTTGTTGACACTGGTTTTCAAATTTACGATTTTTAATTATTAATGAAATCAATTCGTGCAAACGCTGCTTATAAATCATCATGACTTAATAAATAATATTAAAAAAAATTAATATTATTTATAATGTTTAAACATATGTATTAATATGCCATATTTAAATCGAAAAATGAAATTATTAAAAACAATTCACTTTGTTTAAATATTGTTAAATTAACCCCAAAAATACGCAATTTTCCTGCCAAAAATATGAAAAATAAATTTTGCAATCTCATCATGACGTAACTGTCAGGTGACCTACCTAAGCAAAGGTCACATTTTTCGGTCGTTTGTGTTTAGTTTTGATTTCGGTATGGTGGCAGCAACATCAGAGCATTCGGAGCTCCGCTTTGGCATAAAAGTAGCACGTGTTCGCGAATATCTATTTTATTGTTGATAAATATTAGTGAAAATATCTTGTGTTAGTGCTGTGAATACGAAAGAAAGTAGATGTTTTCCAAAAATGCCAAAAAAAAGAATTATCATGACATAATTAACACTATTTATATTGTTTAAAGATGACGAGTATTAATACGTCATAATTAAAACGAAGACCGTTTTCTTACATACATGAAGTTACTAAAAACAATTTAATTTGTTTAAATATTGTTAAATTAACCCCAGAAATGTGCAATTTTCCGGCCAAAATATGAAAAATAATTTTGGCAATCGCATCGTGACGTACCATGACGTCACTGTCACGTGAGCTACCTGAGCAAAGGTCAGATTTTTCGGTCCTTTGTGTTTAGTTTTGATTTCGGTCTGGTGGCAGCAACATCGGAGCATTCGGAGCTCCGTTTTGGCTTAAAAGTAGCACGAAGTTTTAACTTTGAATACTTATTTTTCTTGAATGGCATCGTAAAATGAGTTAGATGGTTCTTCCAGATTCTCTCGGATTCTGTCATATTCTCACAATTCTCTCGGAATTTGTTTTAGATTCTCTCTTATTCCGGATTATTCCGAATATTCTTCTTTCTTCTTGGAACATGGTCGGATTCTGTCGTATGCTTTGGGATCTTTTGCGTATTGTTGCAGATTCTCGCGGATCGATTCAGAATCTCTGGAATTCTCCAGGATATTCTTTCAAATTCTTTGGGATTTTTTTGAATTTTTTTCGTTTCTTTGGATTTTATAATAATAATAATGATTTATTGACGGCAAATTTTAGCCTTTACATACATAAAAAGATACATAATAACTACTAGTAACTAATTATACAAAATGCGGCGCAGTGTCGCCTTAAAATTATTGAAAGTGTCATTAAAAAATCTACGTTGGCTGAAACTAGATTACAAGCTAACAATATACTATTGAGAGGCGAGTACAATGCATAATATTGACCGTAAGTTTCAATATAAAACAAAGGAACTTTACGAACTGCATATTGGGGCACATTAAATTTAAGCGTATGAAGAATTGATGGTGCATCACATATGTTATTAAGAAGCTTGAACATGAAACAAATTTTAAAAAATTCCCTACGATCACATAAGTTATTTAAACCTACATAAGTTTTACACAGTTTAGGTGAGCCTCTAACACCATAAGGAAGCGAGCGCATTATAAATGTAATATATTTATTCATTCTGGACAGATTCAATTCTATCAATATGTGTCTTATAAAATGGTGTCCAAACGATACAGGCATATTCTAAGATTGACCTAACATACGTTGTGTATAGAATATTTAGTGTTCGTAAATTTTTAAAATCTCTCCCATATCTTTTGATACAGCCAAGTGCTCTGTTAGCTCTTGCAATTACATTATCTATATGAGCCGCAAATGTTAACTTGCAATCTAAAATGACACCGAGATCTTTAATGGTAGTTGAATCTTTTAGTTTATTATTATGCATGAAATAAACAGGAGATGACGGTGATATTTTTTTACTAAATTTAACGATATGACATTTTTCACTGTTTATGATCATGAGATTTTCGTCACACCATCGAAGCAATGAAACTATATCACTCTGCAGGAACATTGTATCATTAAGGCCCTTGATAACCCTATATATTTTTAAGTCATCAGCAAATAAGCTAAAAGCACAGACAAAGTTATTACCAATAACGTTAATGAACAACGAGAACAAAAACGGTCCTAAAATTGACCCCTGGGGGACACCAGAAGGTACATGTCGGAAACTTGACAAACTTAGACCCAGTTTAACTTGCTGGCATCTATCACAGAGATAACTTTTGAACCACCGTAAGAGAGAGCCACAAATACCATAAGCGTTTAACTTCTTTACTAAAATACTGTGATTAATTTTATCAAACGCTTTGCTTAAATCGGCATAAATAGCATGAACCTCAAACCCAACACTCATGGCTTCAATTAACTCATTCGTAAAACCAAGTAAATTAGTGACAGTAGACCGTTTGTTAATAAATCCATGTTGGTATGGAGTAATAATATTTTTATATACGGTAAAACATTTATTGTACACAATTGATTCAAATAATTTACTTGGTGTAGACAGAATCGAAACTGGACGATAATTTTCAACATGGTGTTTACTGCCAGATTTGTGTACTGGTACTACATGTGCTTTCTTCC